TGGGCTGGCCCTCTTCGCTTCGACGCGCCCTTCGCCGCTGGTGGTTGCGCGCCCCCTTCGCTCGCCGGCAATCGCACCCCCGCGCGGGCGTTCTCGCCCCGCCCAAACGCGCGGCGCCCAGCGCGGCCCCCGGCGGACGCGCGAAAAGCACGGGGGGAGAGGTGCGGGGAGGGAAGAGGGGAGGTGGAGCAGAGGCGCGGGGGGGGGGCTCTTGAAGCGGGAAGGGGGGAGGGGGGGGGGGGCGGGGGACAGGCGCGGGGGGCGGGGGGAAGCGATGCAGTCCGGGGGCGCGAGCGGGATCCACGAGCACCTCGGCCAAGGGGGGGCAGACCCCGCGACAGACTCGACGGGGGCCATTGCCCGCTCGATTGGGAAGGCCCGCCGACGTGCGAGCGGCGGCGCGCGGGGCCAGCGGAAGGGGAAGGGAGGCCAGGGCCGCGCTCGGCAGCCCCCCCCCCCGGCCAATACCTGATCTCGAGGATGCGCAAGGACTTTGCGCCGGGATGCGCGCCCCTGCCTTTGCAGCTAGCGCTCTGCCATCGACGGGGCGCGTCTGGCGGGACGCAGCAGACAGAACGCACCGAACAAAAACAGGGCGCGACCAGACGTCTCCATGTCCTACCCTAGCTCCGACAACTTCCCGCGCGCGGCAAAGCGAAGTTTAGCCTTGGCTACCTGGGGCCCGAAGACTCCGTCGGCAAACCTGACAGCAACCTGCGCCGCCTCAACAAGGCACGGAGGCCACCTTGGCGCCAAACAGTATGAATGACTCGCGCGCCTGGAGTTCATGATGCCCTGGTGGCGCGCACGCTCGACGACTGCCAGCGCCCCGAAAGACGTCGGAGCGGCGTCGAACAGACCGCCCGCGCCAGCGCCGCGCGCGCCTGCAGGCAACAAACCCGCGCGCCTGAAAGCTCCCACCTGGGTCGGGGCGCCCCTCCTCAGGGCTTGGAGATTAGAGCTCCGCTTCCAAATCCTCGGGAAGAGACTCCGTTCCTAGAGCCGTTTGGGACGCCCGCTAAAATCTCATGCCCCAGGTTCACATTGCACCTGTGCCCCGCAGGCATCACGATGCGAGCACCGCCACAAAACTTCGGGGCAGCGTGGTTGGCGGATGCAATATGTCCAGCGCCAGCGCAAGCATAAAACCAGCGCAAGCTTAAAACCTTCGCAAGCACCAGCGCAAGCTTAAAACCTTCCTACAGCCACGAAGAGCGGCCCCGATTCCCAGGGATTAGCACCTGTCTACTGAAAGCTCGCGTCGTGCAGTCTGAGAAAGAAAGCACAACCTAACTACAATACGGTGCAGCAGCAGCTCCTGCGTGGATGCAGCCAGCAACCATGCCTCGACTACTCGACGCGTCCTGGACAAAAAACCAAACGCGTGAACCGAACAGGGGCACCGGTAGAGCCCAAGGAACATCCAGAACAGTATCAAGGGATGTTTCTGGGCTCGGGCCTCGTCAGAAAAAACAATTCCCTGATTATGTTTTCGTTGCGTTTCCACATATCTACCAAAACTGACTCTCGGCGTCGAGGATGTGAGGGCAAACCGAATCAGAGGCGGAGGAGGAGGTGGAGGAGGAGGAGGAGGAGGAGGAGGAGGAGGAGGAGGCGGGCAAGCGGCCCCGAAAGACAGGGCGCCCGCAGTCGCGTTCCCAGTCCAAAGAGACTTGTCTCCGAACCTTCCACCGGATACGCATCAGACTGTTCAGGAAGGCTATAAGCTTATGACCGCAATTTTGCGTTGCCCACACGTACTGCCAGTCGTCCATGCAGTCGCCCACCTGCTGGCAGGGTTAGTGCCCGTCGGTGTCCTTAGCGACATCCTGGAGCTCACGACCGCGACTGAACATGTGCGCGCAGGCTTGGCTCCTACCAGGTCCAGCAACGCGTGCACGTGCTCAACAAAACCATCTTCTGTGAACCTCGACTCGATCTGATCTTGGACGGAGCAGGTACGACCGACAAGTGCTCACGCACCCAGCGCCCTCTCTTGATACGACTCAAAAACAAGTCGCAGACCAACTGTGCAATAGTACCGACATCTCGCACATCGTCTCTAAGCAAGCACTCGGGTCTCACTAGAATGCTCTTGAAGTATCACATTCAGCAGCCAAACAACTTCCAGGCGTCCAGAACTGTCGGAAAAAAAGCCACGGCGTTGGCTGAAACTGTGTCAATTCGGCCTCAGGTTCACCAAATCTCCCGTGAAACTTTATGCGGCCGGACGCCTCCATGATCCCCAGCCTGTCCAACATCTCCGCTTCAAGGTCGACGAGCACGTCGTCCCAACATCACAGGTGCGAGCTAACTCAGGCGGGAATTTGCTACATCCTGGAGGAAAAAGGACTGGGAATTTCGATACTTCGACTGCAACCCGTTGGTACATGTCCTGCGGGCTAGCTAGCACGAGCAGACACACACACACACGGGCACGTGAGGAAACGCATCGACATCCTCGTCCACTTCAGGAGCAGCGACCAAACTCACCACCTGCGCAAATTCAACGAAGAACGCTCCGACCGTACCCGGCGTCGTTTGCCTGCAGGTCGGGGCGCTTGGGGCCATCAAGACTCCTCTCACGGCACTGAACCATTCCATGACACGCTCGGGGTCAATGTTAAAGTCGCCTCCTACCGTCCACACCTGGCCAATCTCGCTCAGCTTGGCAAGATACTTGGCGACGGTCGAAAGGAGATTCACGTTCTCGCTGTTGGCACCTATATCCACGACAACGACAATATACAGCGAGACCAAAACCACTCTGCCTTTGGGACTCCAGTGCGTACTACCCGCAATAGCGCTGCCAGGAACCAAGACAGGATGGCGGGCCATCGGGGGACTGGGAATGAACACCCACTGGGTCGACAGGAGGGTGAGGGGAAGCTGGTTGAGGATGACGAGGAGGAGGTGCTCGAGGAGGAGGAAGAGCAGGGGAAGGAGGAGCTCGAGGAAGAGGGTGGAGGAGAGGGGGGGGGGAAGAGGAGCTGGGAGGCGGGAGGAGGAGCAGGAGGAGCAGGAGCTCGAGGAGGAGGAGGAGGAAAAGCTCACGGAGGAGGAGGAGGAGGAGCTGCACGAGGTGGGGAGGAGGAAGAAAGGGAGGAAGAAAAGCAGGGAGCGGGAGGACTGGAGCGTTTGGACGCAACGCCTTCCCCAGACAATGTCAGGGCAACGTGAAAACGAAAGGGATGAGGACGTTCTTGGAGCGATCTGGGCAAGCACAGCGTGCAGGCAGAACAGTAACGAAGCAAGAGCGCTGTGCTTTTGCTTGTGCTTACGCTTGTGGTTGTGCTTGTGCTTGTGCTTGTGCTTGTGTTGTGCTTGTGTTTGTGTTTGTGTTTGTGCTCACTTGTGCTGTGCTTCGGGAGCGCCCCTCGAGCGCAAGCACAAGCACAAGCACAACACATAACAGGCAGGACATGTTTCGGCAACGCGTGCTGACCACAGCGTACAACGAGACCGCCCAAAGGAAACGGATGAGACGTTTTCGGAGCGGGGTGATGGGGAAACGAGAAGGCAACCAAATGCAGAGCCCGTGGTGCCTTCAGCCGCAGGTGAAGGCACCCCCGTCTGTTCACCCCTTCAAGCGGAGGACGGGGAAGAGAAGCCGCAATCGGCTGGGTGGGCATCGGGCCTTGGTGGCCTGAAGAGACTGGGCCCCCGACTGCCAGCACCTCCTGATCCCTGTCCCCATGACTCGAAAACAGCTTGTCTAGCGAAAGAAGGCGGGAACTTCCCCTGGGCAATGCGGACAAGGCTCCCCCTGCCCTCTCCCACGGCCTCCAGAGCACCCCTTACGAGGCCCGCAAGGCCCCAGGGGCTGCAAAATGGAGCGGAACGCTTGGGGCACCTTGGGCCAGGGGCACCTTTAGCAACCCTGGACCTTGCTCCTTTCGAGGGTTCTCCCCCGAGAGCCCCTCCCGAAAAATCATCTGAATTGTGGGTATGGCTCTGTGTTGTGTATGGAGAGACAGACTTGGGCCACCTGTCGGCGGTCCACCGAAGCGGTTTCCTATCTCAATGGAGACAAACACACAACTTCTTTACCGGTCTCTGGAGGTCCAGGGGAGTCACCGCCAGCATGCAGAGGTCCCTCCAGAAGCCTCGGAAGACCTCCGAGTGCATGCAGAAGCGCAGAAAGGCAGCGCGCAGAATGGGGGGACCCAGTCGGTTGGCGGACCCGGTCCATGCTTTGACCCGTTCCGTTGAAGAATCCGCTCGTAGGTGGACCCAGTCGGCAGGCGGACCCGACGGGGTCCGGACCCGCGCTAGTCCGACTTCCTCAGCCTGGGCGGGCCCAAGAGTGGACAGGGTGGAGCCTAGGTTCAAGGGCCTTCTTCCTTGTTTGAAGGTTGGCGGCGCGCACGAGGGGGTAGGGGGAAGGGGGAACACTTCTTGGAAGGAGGCTGCTCCTCGAAGGCGCCAGCCCTTACATCTGTAGACAAGGCCCGCGCCTCCTGAGAAGCATGGGTGCTTCTCAGGGGACCTACCCCCTCCCCCTACCGCCCTCTGCGCATGGCCGACCAAAACTGGGCAAAAGCGACAATCTCGGGCGGACGGCACCGTGGGGGGGTAACATTAAACGTGCGGGGTCGAGGGCTGCAGGAAGGTGGGTGGCCCCAAAGGGACCCTGCCAACGCGGACCCAGATGATGCGCGAAAGGTGGAACGTTCCTTCATCCCACGTTTGCTGCCTCCTGATGCCGAACATCCGAAAGTCCAAAAACCTCGCCCCCCCCCGAGATCGGGCCCCCCCCCCCGGAGAGACGCAAGACTCGGGTTCGGGAGAGTCGGGTTGGCCTGGCGGGGCCATCCAAAAAATGACAAGACCCAATCTGAAATCTGACGTGATCTCCCGGTGCGGACATCCAACGGAAACTTGACCGTCAAGTCAAGGATGGGCCCGTCAACAAACGTCTACGTTTCTCCGATCCCAGAATTGATTCATCATGGCTGAATGATGGAAAAAACAAGCTCTCTCGATCCCGAAGCGCAGGCCTGCAAGTCCTCGATGAGCTGCCGGTAGCCGGTCCTCAGGGTCGCCCGCCGCTGGGCGTCGCCTCCACGCTCTGGGTGGGCGCGCGGCGCGCGGACATGCTGGCGGAGGTTTTCGGAGGCGCGAGGAGGGAGGGGGGGAAGGAGGGGAGAGGAGAGGAAGGGAGAGGAAAGGCCTCGTCGTCGTCGTCGACCTCCTCCTCCTCCACCACCACCACCACCTCTATCACCACCCCTGCTACCACATGCTTTGCAGGAGCTCTTTTTTGAGGGAGAAAATGGGAGCGGACCGCATGATTCAAGAACCACCGTCGTAACGCGAATGCCGGTTGCACTTGAAAACCGTTCTTTTCCTCACCAAGCGTGTGGGAACGGACGCACACATTGCAGTAAAGTGTCCGGCCTGCCGGGCTTCCCACTTGAGAGCAGGAGGAGGAGGAGGAGGAGGAGGAGGAGGAGGAGGAGGAGGAGGAGGAGGAGGGGACAAGTGAAGCCAGATGGCGAAGGATACGAATTAACCCTGAAACGTATCATCCCCTGGCCTGCCAAGCTGATGTTGGACAGACCCGTATTGAACGGCCTCGGCGGCCAAACAATACAAACACCATGGCTGGGGAGAGGAGGGAGGACGAGCAGAGGAGAACTCCAAGACACCTGGAACAGCGCTCAGGCCAACCTGCCGTAGGCGAGCCGTAGCGCACAACAGGGGACTTGCAAAACTGGCGCTGCCGGACACCTCGGCCACCCAGGTGATAATAATACGTACTGCCTAGCTGGAGTTACGAATGCGCCGAACAATATATCGGCTTCCATGCCGAACGAAAGCATATCTGCCGCGATGGCAAATGATGCGAAGCGGAACGTGGGACGAAAAGGCTGACCAGGCCCTGTGGAAGAGAGGGAGAGAGAGGAGGAGGAGGACGAGGAAGGAGAGGACGGGGGGAGCGGGAACAGGACTACAATGGCACGAAAAGTGCCAAAGCTCGTATCACAGCGACGTGGGCACAAGTGCCACAGATATTACATGTAATTCAAGTGGTAGCGACTGGTGCGCCGAAAAACGACCGAGAGGAGGGGGAGGAACACATATGCAACAACACATGCATTCGGCGACACGCGTGGCTGCTAGCTGTCCTGGCGGGGCCTCTTGAAAGCGATCTTAACGAGATGTTGGGCGCGAGAATGGCCAGAGACCGCTTCGCGGACGAAGCCGCGGAAGGCGTCGGCCCCGTCTGCGGCGCGGAGGCCGTGTCTCACTGCGTTGTGCGTTCTATACAGCGCATACACACCTAAGGCCCGGAGCGCTGCCGCCGTGGCCCTGGCGCTGCCGTCCTGGCAGTGCGCTGGGAGGGAGCGCTCGTGCGGGCGAATGCCCAGAAAATCACTGAGGCACTCTTGTGCGGGTGGCCGGCTAAGGCCGAAGCGCTGCTGGCAGAGGGACTGGACGGGCCACAAAAAGCGTAATGTTGTATGCTGTCTTCCCCACGTGGGCACTTGAAAAGGCACCCCCCTGACTTACCGAAGCGGCGGGCAGTAATCCATCCGTTCCAAGCAGTCCGAATTTGACACGCCTGCACTCTGGGGGGGAGGAGAGGCGAGGAAAGAGCGAGAGTGTTGAGCCACCGTGCGGGCCTGTGGCCTGGCAGGACGTCGAATTGCCACTCGTCTAAGCGGTTCCTAATGTGCGTGACCGCGGAGGGCCGGGAGACAGCATTAAAAGTCCGCGCTGCCTGGGCCTGCCACCCGCCCCGCTCCTCGGCGGCAGGGCTCGCCGGATCAAGGAGAGACGGCGCAACGCGCAGCTGCCGCTCGGCAGCCGTAAGCTCACTTGTGGCGCCACGGAGCGAAAACAAGAAGTTCTGGTCGACGTAGTGTTGGAAGTACTGGACTCGGGGCTGGTTCCTGGCGTCGCGGCTCACCCAAAGGAGCTGGCGAGCGCGGGCCTGAATCCGGAGACCGCCGTGTGCGGAATTCTCGAACCTGGCGACCCGGGCCCTGGCCGCACGCGCGGCGGACTGGACGTCGGGGAGGGCCTTCGGAAAGCTCAGCGACTTCAGGTCCTTCAGCGCGTCCACGGAAAACCAATCCTTGGGGCCGCGGAAGAGCGCGCGGCACGCTTGTAGCTCGATCGCCTCGAACGTGCGCGGCAGCGGGTCGAGCTGCGCGACGAACATGATCACCGAGCACACAAACACCTGGTAGGCCAAGAAAGTGTGGAGATGACCTACGCCCATTTGCCCCCACAGCACGGCTCTCTCCATGAATTTACGGAAGGGGGCGTCCCATGAACTGGTGCCGCGGCCTGGGACGACGACCGTGCCGAGGTACTTCGCCTTGTCCTGGATTGGGAGCGCCCCCCACAAGGGGGCTTCCCGAGTGAGCCGGCGACGAACCTCATCGCGATCATACCGGAAGAGCGGCACGAACACTGTCTTGTCGATGTTCAGCCGGAGGCCGGAAATGCGCTCGTACTCAATGAACATGTCCTGGATGGCGCCGATGTGCTGGAAGATGGCAGCGTGCACGAGGGCTGTGTCATCGGCGTAGGCGCGCACTCGTGCTTCTGGAATACGCCGGCGTAGACGCCGAAGCAGGATGTCCGACGCCACCGCGAACAGCAGCGGTGACAGGGGGCACCCTTGGCGGATGCCCCGCGCCAGGTCGAAGCCAGCGTGCCGGGTGCCGCCCAGCGCGGTGGAGCACGAGTGCGGCAACACGAGTTGCGGGAGTTCCGCCCTATGCAGGAGCTTATGGTTAAAAATTGTTGTGCCACACGCGCACACACACACACACCCTCAGCTGCCTTCTGTTTCTTCCCATTTCCTCGCCTCTTCCGCTGCGCATGCGTTGAATGCTCTCGTCTTCTCCTGGCTCCGCGGCCTCTCCCTCTCCGCTCGCCCGTCATCTCGCCCTCCTGTTGTCGTTCCCCCTTTCGTAAATTTCGTCGTCTTTGCCAGGATGTGGCAACCATGCAAACGTTCCATGCCTCCATGTGCACGCACGCGCGCCTTTCCATACAGCGGCTGCTGTCGTAGGCCTGAGTTCTGACAGCAAAACAAAGAGTGGGGAACCCTTTTCTTGCCAACCACATTTTTCCTGTGGGGGGTGCTCTCTTGTTTTCCTGTCTGACTTTCTTATTCTTCTTCCTGCGACAATGTGTTTTCATGATGCGAGCGGCCTAGCCCGAACCCGCCCCAAAACGGAAGGCAGGCAAAAGAGGAAGGACTGGGGAGAGGGGAGGGAATGGGAGAGACAGCGGTCGGGGGAGAGGGGGGACGGAGAGAGGCGGGGTTAATGGAGGCATCGGCGCCGCCGCCCGCCGTCCGCCCCGCTTCCGCTTGCAACATGCACACACAAGCACAAGCACACACACGAACATGTATGATATTATAGTTTCCCTCGCGCGGCCAGGATACTCTCCGTAGCGACAGACACTGTGGGCGACAGTGTTCATTGCGAGGTACTTTCACACAGGCACACACAGCATCGACTCCACACTTTCCAACAACACACCTGGTACTCAACAACCGCCGTTTCCAGCGCGCTAACCATCTAGTCAACAGCATCCCGCATGACTCCCGACCCGCCTGCCCGCCGGGTCAGCCTGGCCGCCTTAGGGCTTTAAGGTGTTACGGTCGTACTGTCTTAGGGTCTTGAGGTCTTATGGTATTGTGATGTTAGGGTCTTAGGGCGTTCGGGCTTACGGGTGATTTGAAGTTCGGGTGTTGGGGTACTTGGGACCCAATGCGTCAGGGCTTTAGGATGCTATGGCTTTGTGGTGTTCATATTTTTCCTTGCGTTTGGGTATTAGGGCACTAGGGCATCAAAGTCTTAGGATGTTCAGATTTTAAGGTCTTATGGTTTGAAGGTGCTGAGGTACTAAGGTATCACCGTGGGCCCCCCCAAAGGGGGCCTCCCTCCGGCGCCTCCCAGCCCCCGCCCCCGTCGCCCCGAAAGGCTCCTAGGGCTCCCCAGCCTGTCGTGCCCCCCAGGGGGCACGCCCCCTCCCTGCCCCGCAGGAAAATAGAAATGATCGCATGAAAAAAACAAGTTCCTGGATAAAAGAGCCAACCGATGGTCCCCTTGCCCTCCCCCCCAGAGTCGCCACCCCGCACAGCCTGGTCACCCCCCTGGGCAGGAAAAAAAGGACCCAGGACAAAAACACACACACACACACACAAGAAATTAGCCTGGCGAAGGACCCAACCATATGAAGTTGTGAATACCGTCGTCGTATGCACCGCATACGGAGGAGCTCCCTGTAGGGCCACGAAACATGTGAGGGTGTGACAAAAATTGTTCGGTGGGCGCATGCGAAAGCAACCTCTGGGGCCGTCGGTGGAATTCCCTGTGCGGCCACGAAACGAGTGAGAGGTGTGCCGAAATTGGTGCGGTGGGCGCATGCGAACGCAGCCATTGGGGCCGTCGGTGGAGCTCGCCATGGTGCCGCGAAACGTGTGTTTGGTGTGCCTGGGTGCGGTGGGCGCATGCGAAGGCAGCCACTGGGGCCTTCGGTGGAGCTCCCTATGGGGCCACGAAGCGTGTGAGGGATGTGCCGAAAGCGGTGTGCGTGACGCATGCCGACGGTGGCACTGGTGCCTTCAGTGGAGCTCCCTGTGGGGCCACGAAACGTGTGACATGTGCGCCGGAATGCTTGTGCGTGACACATGCGGGCGGTGGCACTGGGGCCTTCGGTGGAGCTCCTTATGGGGCCACAGAACGTCTGAAATGTGTGCCGAAGAAATCGGTGTGCGTGACGCATGCGGGCGGTAGCTTTGGGGCCTGCGGTGGAGCTCCCTGTGGGGCCACGAAACGTGTGAGGGGTGTGCCGAAATGAGTGTGCGTGACGCATGCGGGCGGTGGCACTGGGTCCTTCAGTGGCGCTCCATGTGGGGCCACGAAGCGTGTGAGCGGTGTGCCGACGTGGGTGTGCGTGACGCATGCGGGCGGTGGCACTGGGGCCATCGGTGGAGCCCCCTGTGGGGCCACGAAACGTGTGAGGGGTGTGCCGGAATGGGTGTGCGGGCGGTGGCACTGGGGCCTTCGGTGGAGCTCCCTGTGGGGC